GAATTTTTAATGAAACAAAACTCATTTTAGTGATTGACTAGGTAAGGGCTTTGAAATCCCAGCTTATGAGAAAAATCGAATTTTCGAAGTAAAATCAGCAGTCGGTTCTTACAGAGACAGCCTCTTAAATCTTGTTTCTACAATTTGGAATCATTTCATGCTGCTTGTATAGGATTTTTAACAGTATCACGAGACAGGGCAGGTGTATGCACAACATGTTTTTACATGTACATACATCATTTGGTCATTCTTTTATATGGAAGGCTTATTTGGGTATTTATTTTTTACAGAGAGGATCTGCGAACAGCTAATTGCATAGCAGCCAAAGGAGGTGTCCATTGTTTAGTGTTAGATAGAGAGTAAGTATTCCTTAGTTCATGTTTTGAGTGATTAGCAATGTTATGTGAACTTTCCATAGTTAAATCATACCGCAATGTTGTTATTGCTTACTAGTAGTTTTACATTTGTGTATATCACATGGCTGCCACTAAACTCATGAAACTTAGAGACTTGTGTTGCTTTCATAGTTAGGAAATTGTCATTATAAGAATATCTTTTGACGTCTTTGTAGCTGATTATAAATATGAATTATTTAGGGTTGAAATCAGATTTTTTTATGTTTGATCAACACGATAACTTGAAAAGAAAATGCCACGTGACCAAAATGCAGAGGTTGATATTTCTGTATGCAACAGGTTTTCAGATGTTAAATTCCTCTTTTGGGTGAGTTTCACCACATTTTTTCAGGCCCTGTCAGGATGTTAACCATTATCTGCATTTTACTTGTTTAGAGCTTTTGAAGCATATATTGGTAGTTTAGAAGACATGAAGACAGACAAATATAGTGACAAGGAGAGGGGAGTTGAACCTCAGATTGCAAGGTAATGTCAGTTCTCTTCTTATTGTTGCAAATAATAGAGTTAATTTGCAGACATTTGTGAAATGAAATTTTTGTTATCTTCATGAATGTGTGCTGTTTGTGAGGTGATCAGGTAGCAAGAGTTGAGGCAGGTTGCTATCTCTGATCTGAACAAGTGAATGATTTAGTTTCTTTGATTCTTAACTGTATTTGCATAACTAATCAAAAGTATTGGTGACACAAAGTTATTGAAGAGTTGTTGAAAACCCATGTGAGCATACTGATTGATAAAAAATCAAAACATTTTTTGGGAAAACTAACACTTTGGATTGGAGGACGAAAGTTTTACTAATCACTTCATTGTCCAAGAATCAGTTCCACAACTGCAGCAGTGTTTCCGCCAGAGCGCGTCATTGCAGGAATCCTGTGTTACAATCAGAGATGGCCCCCAGAAAAAGGAAAAAAAGGGCCAATTTGGCCCTTTCCTTTTACAAGAGTGCAGGCTTAACACAGGCATAATATTTTAAAAGCCATCCCAGGGCTGGAAATTGTGATCGATATGGTCGCCAATGCAACGAGCATTTCATCCTTGGCGACCAAAA